AAATTATGCATTTCCAAGTGTGAAAGGAATAAATGAGAGAAATTAAGCATTATAATTATAATTGTATTAATTATGTATTAATATTATTTAATATATTATTATTTGGCAAATTACTAAAAATGTGTTTCAAACTTGAGTTCAATTTGATGCCAGAATGCATTTAAAAAATTTTATTTCAATAGATTCGTCAAATTTAATTTATTTTCGTAACAAGAAAGGGGCTTTTGAAAGAAAGATTATTAAATCTAAAATCTGAGAGATTTTCTCAACTGAAGGGAAATCTAACGAAACTTTTTAATATTCAATCTTCAGAAGTTTTGCTCCTGTTTCTGGCAGTGGAAGACTTTAGATTTGCAAGAATTTTTTTTATCGTATTGTTGTATGAAAGTAAACTAAACTCTGTGTGTGTGAAAGTGACAAATAATTGCAATTTTTTCTGTTATCAAAAGGAAACTAGAGTGTGGAGGGAAACAGTTAATTTCAGCACCCTTTTTGTGAACGATATCTTGATTCTATTGCCGTAATTTCTTAAATAACGTCTTGTGTATCGTTTTCAATTTGAACTATGAATGGCCATTCTAACATAGATACTATTGAAGCCACGGAACATCTTAAGAATATTCTTAATGTTGGGAAGAGTGGAACAGAGTCTGGTAAAATTATGTTCTTTGTTTGGAGAACTAATTCTCATATGTGCCCACGAAGCATCAAAATGTTAAATAAAATAATTCATTTTTGAAAAAAATAATATGCTGAAAGGTGTTTGAAAATAAATTATAATATGAGTGTTATTTTGTTAAAATTTCGCATTGTTGTATGACTCATTATTTTAATTTGTTCGAATCAAACCACTTATCAATGGTAAATTTTTTTTGATGGATGCTTTAATTTGCTTATAGACTATTAGAATTGACTATCTTGTGGTGTATTTATTTTTAAAATATTAAAATAAATTCATCTAGAGCATGAGTAAATATTTCTATTTAAAGAATAAACTGTCATTTGTTTATTATCATGGAATGTTATTTAAAGCATTTTAAACTGTTATAAAATATTTTTAAGTTAATTTTAAATTAAGCTATTATTGAACATAACTTTAAAATTAAATATTATTTATTGCCATTCTAAAAAAGAAATTATATTAGTTTCTCTTAAAGTATCATTGTCTTTGGAATATCTCATTTTGGCATATTGTATGAAAGGTATTTGAAGGAATCACTTCCTAGCTTTGTCTGAACACTGTTTGGATTCTTGTAAATAGCACCTCTTTGATTTGCTTTAGTGGCATCCGAGAAACAATTTTTTCTTCTCTAATCCACTAATTTGTCCATATTTTTTGCTTGTTTAGTGTGTAATGTTTCTTCCTGATGGCTCTAGCAGTCCATTAAAATTAGGATTGTTAAAAAGTTAAATTGGTTTCAAGGTTAGATTTTACTGCATATTTTTTGGCAAGTAAAGGCATGTTTTCTTTTCACTAGCTCAGTGTACTGTATGCTGCAAATATTAGTTTTACATTTTGGAGCTAAAATAGAAGAAAAAAAATGAATGATAAAGAGCAACATTTGGCAGAGAGAGAGGAGAGAAGATGACTCAGATAGTGGATCTGAAATTTCTCTAAAACCTTTTGGAAGTAATAAAAGTTTGTTATCTCAGACTTCTCTAAGGATGAGGAAACTGAAAGTTCAGATGACGTAACTTAATTCGAAACTTTAATGATAATAGTAATCCTTCCTTCACTCTGACACATTTTCCCTCATTGCGAATCCAGCTGTTCCTTCAGACATTGATTTAAGCAATGGAACTCTACAATTTTTTATGCGTTATCTTGTATAATAATAATGACCTTCAAATGATAGTTTCTGAAAACTAAAAAAATATGCAGAACAAATTATTTGAAATAGTAGTCTACGAAGGAAAAGCAGAGAAGATAATAAGAACCAATTTCTAAAAACAAAATTCAGGTTTTTTCACTTTGAATATATTACAAGGAATTGTAAAAAAGCCCGATATGTGGAGTAATATTCAAGTAGGAGCCATTCATTATCAACTTAATTTTTTCTAAAAATTATGTCTTCCCAACATAATTATCTCATTTACCAGTATTTATTTTTCAGATAATTTGACGCTCACATGTGTCCAAAATTGCAGAAGCTATCTGGTAATCAAGTATTTAAATTCTCTTTTTTGAGAAACTAGTACAACTGAGAGATATGATAATAGATGACAGCTTGATGCTGTTCTAGGAAAGATTACACTGGAAACAGTATCTGCCTCTAAAGAGTTCATAATTCAATATAAAAAGTTTTGTTTTATGTGAATCAATGTGGTTATTTATGAGAGAAAATGTACTCTTTTTGACGATGATTACCGGCATTTGGACAAGTCCTCTTAAGTAGTGATGACTTATGCAGCCACTATTGAATAAAGGATTTTGCCAAATAGCAGATCATTATATACAACACCAGAACTTGCAGATATGCTTCTCAAAGATTGGATATTTATGGAACATTCGTAATTAATGGAAAGATGTCCAAATGAACTACAATAAAACAAACAAAGGTGAAATCTGTGTGTACCAAAGAGAGAAGGTTTACATCATCAAATGGATGGAGGCTATACACAATCCTGTGATGATTGAAGTGCTGTCTTATAAGAATAAGGTCAGGCAGAGAGACACCAAAGATAGCAATAGGGGAAGAAAAAATACCATGGGGGAGGGGGGTTGTAGATAAAATGGATCTGCATCTCAGTAATTACTCTAACACAAGAAAGAGTTACTATAAAAAATACTCTACTTTTTAGATATATCACTATTGAATGGTTTTGTTTTATACCAGAAACATAGAGGAAAATATCATTTGAATTTTGGGCATGATACGATCACCTGATTGTAAGACAAGATAATAAATGAGAAAAAGAAGACTAGGAATTTTATCCAATCCCTTGCAATTGACTGAAAAATACTTTTTTTGACAAAAAATTGAAACCAACTAGACTATATTTTGTGTGTTGTTCAATAAGAAGATGGGAAAACGAGTGTGAAAAAAAATGTGATATTTTTAAACCGAATTGTGATGTTGGACTATCCTTGTCTCCATTTTAAAATTTACCTTACAAAAACTGAATTTTAAAAGGTTATTTCATGTAGCAATAATATATATTCAATTCTGACATCTATTTTTGTTAAGTGTCCTTATTTCTTCAGAGAAAAGCCAACTTCAAAAAAATGTTTTTTCCAATGAAAATAAAAACGCATTCTATAAATTCAATGCTTGTAATAATTCTGACTGCTAATTTGAGTTTTTATAATTGATTTTATCTTAATTGTGTGTTTACCAAAAATAGGTTTATTTTTGACATAGTATGAGGGGAGAAGAAACCATTAATGTATTATAACATTTTGATTTTAATGTCTTTAAAATATGTTTGAAAAATTAAAGGTATGTACATTCTGAGGAAAACATATTGCAGTTTTCATACATTTATTATGGAATATGTGTTTTTGTATATGTGGTAGTATTTTTTATTCAAAATTTAATGGAATAATAAACTTGCATATTTGTTACTTGCATTGTCTGGTAATTTTGTAGATTTCATTGGACAGTTAAAAAAAAAGGCATTCACAAATTGTATCAAATATCTTAGTTGTGTCATCTTAGTATATTGATGAAAGCTTATTCTTACTCTTTAATTTCTTTTCCTTACAGCCCAGTAGTACAGGCAAAATACAGGGAATGGGGGCTAACTGACATGAGAACAAAGTTTAAACTTGTAATCTGATTTCCTAAGGCTGAGAATATTCTGCTGTACTACTGAGGCTATCTTATTTTTTACCTATACTGTCTTGTTATACTATGCTTGTTTTAATGTATATTTATATTTTTATTAAATTTAATTTATTATATGTTGTAACGTTCAATTCCTTATCCTATAGTAAAATTAAAAACTATTGCAAATGGAAACATGGAAGCATCTGGAGATGGAAACTTGATGTTATGCGACAGAGCATATCAGAAAATGTAAGGAAATCTTAATATTCATGTTTGAACATGCTTTTATTTGGTTTTAAAATCAAGCATTTTTATTAAACATCTTTATTTTTATTGTACCTGAAAAAATTTTTTCTCTATTCAAATTTGTAAGCTTTTAAATTTTTAATTATTTGTTTTGTATTGAAAAAACTTTTTTTTAGAAACTTATGTGCAAATAAAGACAGTTCTCATGTATCTATATGTGGTACTGAAGTGGATGTTTATTCTAGTCCATTAGAACATGGAGAAACATGTAGCCAGGTATTATAGTAATTTCTATTAAATTTATTGCAACATTGTTTTAAAAAAATTGTTCTTTTGTGTTCTGTAATTATGTTGAAAAAATTATGTATAATTTGAATGAGAAATAGTTATTACAAATAAAATTATGCATGTTAATATAACTATTCTCGACGAATAATTAATTTAATTGGTACTTATGTACTATTGCAACCGTATTGGTAACATTATGTGAAACAAAACATATGGTTGTCTTTTCAGCACGTACAACACATATGAAATCATTTTGCCAACTTGGCGAGTTATCTTGAATGTTGGCATTGTTGCAATAGTATGTAAGTACTATCCTAATCATTTACAGAGTTAGAGGATTAAAATATAAGCAGTAGTAAAAAGGAAAAGTGAGTTTTATTTTTAAGTAAATAGTATGACTTTTCTTGATCATCCTTTATAAAGGAACTGGCCTTTATTTTTCAATTCCTACTATTAGTTCACACTCTCCCTATATTTATTTAAATTTATATATACATTCAAATTTTAAATCGTTAAAAAATACTTTTTAATCATCCACTCAAGCTCAGATACATTTTTTTAAACTTGCAGTGGATAACACTTGATGTTAATACAGTTTTTCAAATATTAATTCATTAATTTTTGATTAATGAATAAATACTAAAAAATAAAAATACTAGTCCAACTCCATACATAAAAAGGAAAATTGCTAGTTGTGTTCCTGTAGCACAATGGATAGTGCGTTGGACTTCTAATTCAAAAGTCGTGGGTTCAAATCTCACTTGGGATGGCCTTACTTCTGATCACGTTATTTCTTTTTACCTTACTATTTTATTGGAATAATTAAATTTAATTAATGAATAAATAGTAGCAAACAAAAATAATAGTCCAACACCATATATAGAAAATGAAATGGAAAATCGCTTTCTATTTTGCCACTTAATATTGTGATTCTGTCATATGTATATTCATATTTATATTAATTGTAATTATTTGATATAAGGTAACTAAAATAAAATTTCTCTTTGTTGACCTAAGTAGGAATCGACTTAAATTTTTTTTTCAATTCCTACTATTAGCTCACACTCTCTATATATTTATCTTCGTGAAATTTTCAATCGTTAATAAAATACATTTTAAAGTGCTCAATTGAGCTGAAATTTTATATATATGATTATTTTAGATGACAATACAGTAATTTAATTATATAACCTGTACTCAAAAATAACACCGGCAATTATTTTATTAATTATATTACCAACAATAATTTTAATTGGTGGCACCTTCTTATTAAGCATGGTTACGAATACATAAAAACATTTAATACGATACTAATAATAAGGAGTTTTGCGCAGGCGGACATTGGCACGTCCGCTCTCCACCGAGATGGCAGTCAGACTCTGGTTAAGTATCCATACGGCCAGGAGAGGGCGCTCTAGTACCATCTTTTTGCCATTTGTTACACTTCCCCTCTGGTTCCTAAACGTCGTCCTTTATGAGGAACCAGCAGAATTGTTGTTCCTGGGTCTTCCTTTTTTCTCTGACAGACATCACTGGAATGGCTTCTCCCTCTACTTTGAAGATGGAATAACTTATCTGATGCACCATGAAGATGGATGCAATCTGAAATATCAAATTTCCCAGTAGGAAATATACAATTCAAAACATCAAATTTCCCAGTAGGAAATATACAATTCAAAATATTAAATTTTCCGGTAGGTAATATACAATCCCAAAATTTCTTCATTGCCAGCAGCTACACTTCAGAAACCACTTTAAAATTCTTTATGAACTAGGTGTTCAGAAATTGAATTGATAATTTTATGTTGGGCTCCATTTTCCGGTAGGAAATATTCATTAGTGAAGAGAACAGTCACCAATTGATCCATGCTTCGATCTCCATGATCTCTGCAGCATTGGAAACAGACTCTTCTGTTCTCCGAACTGATAGGGATGTAAGATAACCAGACTTCTTAAAAACGCTTGGGCACCATTTATAGCCTTTTGGCATTCATTGGTGCCATTTGTCACAAGCTAGTGTAACAATCACTTTCAAGCATCTGGTATCATCCCAAATTTCATTCATCTTTGATTACAGATTTCGATGTATTTTTAACAGTAATGAAATGAAGAAAAATTTTAATTAGCAATAGTTAACATTTTTACCATTTGGGCGTTACTTGCATCCAAGCCAAATTTTCCTCGAGCTTTTCGATAAGCAATTGTTTTTGAGACCAACTTCATTTCAATCTTGTAATATCGTAATTTAATTTTGTAATTTAAAAAGGATTCAATGGATCCTCAGCCACAAATTAAATGCAGTTAATTTAGTTTTAAAATAGTTAACTTTTATAATTGAGCATGAACCTAGTCATTAGCAGAGCAAGAATTGGATATTCGAACACAATACTATTAAAAAATGTATTATAGATATCTTACAGGATACAAAATCTAAACTTTGAAAGCAAAATGAAAATTCAAGTAAAAAGAAATTCTGATGAACTTAGTCAAAACAATATATTAATTAATCCTTTGAGGGAATAAAAGTACTATTTTTAAAAATATTGTAAATATTTGACAGAATGCAAAACCTTAGCTTTCAAAATAAAAAATAATTCACATATAAAAGAAATTCAAAGTGGAAACAAAACCTATGAATGATCTTTTGAAGGAATAAAAATACTTTTTCTAAAAAAAAGAAAAATTAATAATTTCTTTCTTTTAAATTCACTTTTTTTTATATGTGATCATAATTCTTCAATATAGTTATAAATAAAACACAGTATAATAACACTTAAATTCAATAAAAAAAAGGTAAATATAATACTAAACAGGAAATATCAATCTCAGTGACACTCTTACATCAAAAGTAAATTAATGAGTCACAGAAAAGTAAAAAGTATGGATGATAAATAAATTTTACAAAGTAAAATGAACAAGAAAAAAAAAGTCTGATTTTCACCAGGCAAGGGGTGAGAGACAGAAAATTGGGGGGACCCTTAGTAACAAAAGGTCTAGTTTGTAAACAGAAACAAGCAGTGAAAACTCAAGGTCAGAAGGAGGGGGGGTGAAAATTCCCCAAATCAAGTACACTGATAGTCATGAATCACAGGCAGGAAGAAAAATTGAACAAAAGTAGAAAGAGTTTTCTTACTAGAGAAAAGAACTAAACAAATAAAATAGACTAATAAATCATGTTTATTATATGTATGCCACAAATACACCAGTAAAATTCAACAAAGAGTCAAAATGAATAAGAAAACAAAAGGAAAGAAACTTAGCTGATGCAATCCAAAATTTCTAATCTCCCAGTAGGAAAGATACAATTCACACATTCTTCCTAGCTGGCAGCTACCATTTCACACATATTTTTTTGAAATTCTTTATGAACTAGCAGTTCAGAATACTGAAGATAATTTTATTAGACTAGCAGTCCTATATTAAAATTAACTGCTTGTGCCACTCGCTGGGTGCTATTTTGTAACTTGTACTCAAAAATAACACCGGCAGCTAGCTCAAATAATTTTCATTGGTGGCACCTTCTTATTAAGCATGGTTACGAATACATAAAAACATTTAATACGATACTAATAATGAGTTTTGCGCAGGCGGACATTGGCACGTCCGCCCTCCACCGAGGTGGCAGTCAGACTCTGGTTAAATATCCATACGGCCAGGAGAGGGCACTCTAGTACCATCTTTTTGCCATTTGTTACAATTATAATTAATAAAAATTGATTAAAAATAATTATTTAAAGAATTAGAAATACAGCCACGTTGGCATGAATTTTGGCGACTTGTGTCAAAACTTGAAAAGGTTTTTTTTTCTCATGTTTTAAAGCATTCAGTTAAACTGAAATTTTATATACACGATTGTTTTGGATGACAATACGTTACTGTAATGATAATTAATAGAAATTAATTACCACTTAATGTTGTGATTCTGTCATATGTATATACATATTTATATTATAACTATTTAATAAAAAGCTAAAATAAAATTTTTCTTTGTTGATCTAAGGAGGAATTAACTTAAAATTTTTTTTTTATATTACTTGTTTTTATATTAAAAACTAATCCATCATGTTAAAAATAAATTTATGTATGACAGTATTTAAATGAAGTTTTCTGCCTTCACACACAATTTGTAAGTTTTTGATAATCTAGTACTTAAAAATATTTTTAAAAATAATTTAATTTGAGATTTTTATTTATCTAGATTATTGTTGAAGATATGGTTGATTATGGATGGGAAGAGAAATTTTACTGTGGAAAATTAATAAGTATACATTTAAGTGGACTTTATCTTGCATATGTTTTAAAGCGTAAGTGTTTTAAAAATTATAATATATTTTTTAGCTTGTATGAAATACAGAGTACAATTAAATTTTAGACTTTTTATATTTTTATGAGTTATGCTTAAGGAAAGGTTTATTTATTCAAATGTTAAGAAAACTACAAAAAAAAAACCCATCAATTTATTGCTAAGTGGTAACAAATTTGTTAAGTGACAAAATGAAGGTTTGGCTTTTCCTGGTAATGCCATTTATCATGCAGAGACTCTGAAGGATGGCGAGGAAAGATTTTTACCATCTTATTTGTTTTCAAAACTGACATTCTTCCATGCTACAGTCAGACAAAGAAAAATTCTAGAATCAAATACCATTTATTTTACTAGGGTGTGATGAAATTTTTTTAAAAAAATTAAGCACTTTATTTTTTTGCAGTTTAAGAAATAAGTTTTTTTCCATGGATGGAATGATTGAACTGCCCTGTACTCTTTCTCGTTGTGATCAATTTAATTTATGGCCTGGGAAAATGCACATTTTATGGTATTCAACTAAGTAATTTAAAACTAGGTTCCCAAACTTGTTTTTTTACAGTTTTTTTTTTAATTACTTGAAATGTGTCTTAAACATTTAATAACTTTGCAATATCTCAAAACAATTGCATGAAACTTTTCTTCCATATCTTTTGCTACATTTTCTGTGCTTGAATTGAAAGATAAAAATTTTCCTCTAAAATTGGAGTTTGAAAGAAAAATTTTTGCCTTTAAAATTTCACCCTTAAAAAATTAAAAACTTCATTCATCCACAAAGAATTTTAGTTCAGCAGCCATCAGTTTTCTTCTTCACTATAGAATGAGGCAAATTCCAGAAATTCTGGGATGGCTGTTCTAGAGTGGAAATCATGTCATCAATGCTCAAGATCAAGATTGAAAATAAGTTCCAGAAAAATAAAGGAAAAGGGAATATAAGTTATTAAATTTTCTTACTTTAAAGTTTAACCCTTAAAAAAATTTAAAACTTATAGAACCCTCTATTCCCAGGGAGCCTTGACATTTCTTATTTATTTATTTAGGAAAGAATATTGTGGATGTGTTGTGACCTCAATTCTTTTATCTGCCAAAAAATGGGGTATTATTCAGGATAGTCCATGCAATGCTGAACTGTGCTGCTGATTTAGTGTTAAAATTTGATTTATTTTCCCTTTAATCAAAAAGTATGCGTAAAAAAAATAAGGATATAAATTTAAGGATTTTTTAGGATATTTTTTCATTTCCATTAGCTGGTTATTTTGTTGAATATTAATGGTATTGTTGTTTGATGTGTGGAAAATATCCAATCATTTAACTGTATTAAAAATAATTACACTATTTAGAATTATGTAAATTAAAAAGATATTAAAACAATTTTGAAATACTTTTTAATTGTATTTTTTTCTATGTATAATTGTTTTGCATTCGGTTTGAAAAGTATTTTTTCTTCTTGCTCTTTATATAGCAGCAAA